GTTTTTTTTTTTTTTTTTTTTTTTTTTTTTTTTTTTTTTTTTTTTTTGTTTCGATCATTTAATCATTTGAACACTTCTAAAAGAGATGTTTTAACTTCTTCAAACGAGCTAAATATACATTGGTAAATAAATTGTTAACACGTGAAAATCTTTACTCTAGGGCTTCATGTAGTTGTTGAGAGTTAGAATGAGATTGAATGGAAATGAAAATAATTGAAAAAAGAATTTGTTATTGTTTACTACAAAATTATTTGAAGTCAAAATTAGAAGCTCATGGACATTATTTTCTAAATAAGTTGTATTATAATTACTAAAATACCACTTTCATATTTCAACTAATAATTAAAATACATCACTAAATAATAGACCAATCAAACATATAATTAGTAATAAATCTCAATTTTATTTAATTTCATGGTAACAATTTATTTGACATTAAAAATAACAACTAATAAATAAAATTACATATGAAATATTAAAATAATTTTTTATTAAGGAAAATAGTCTAATTTTATTTGTATTATGTTATTTAACCAAACCATTAGAATTTTTTTAATTTTACAAAAAGATATTAGATTTAATAAAAGAATAGAAATGAGATGGACAAGGAATTAGAAACCAAATGAGATTACTTCTTTTATTTTACCTCCAATTATTTCATTCTATGTATTTGTAATATATGAAATTGAAAATTGAAAATAATAATTATAATTAAAAAAATTAAAAAGTTACCATTATCGATGCTATTGGGATTAGTTGAAAAACCTATGCTAAGTTGGAGCAGTTTGACCTATTTTGGTCGATTCGGTTTTGTTATTCTCGAATAAGTTAAGGTAGAGCGTTAAATGTAAAATTGCGAAGTTGTTTAAAGCTTGATATGTACATTATTTCTGCAAGAGTTGTGCTCTAACGATTGCAAGACCACTCCTTACACGAATGAGATGTGATTTTATTAAGGTCGTGTTTTAAAGACTACTAAGTCACTCCTTTCATTTATATGATATAATTCCACGTGGATCGTGTCGACGTGCACACACATATAGGGTCATTCCTTGAATTGATATGATTCTATTAGTGTAGCATCCTAACCGACTGTAAACTTACTTTTTGCATGTATATGGTGTGATTCTATTAGGGTCTTCTTGGATATGAAATTACATTATGGATGTAACTTACATGATATAAATTATATAAGACGGGCTGCTCTGCTGCGGTTGAGATATTCAAATTTAAAATTTAGAGTTGAAATGATTATGAGGTCGCACCTCTCTCTCTCGAGTGAACATTTTCTCACTAACCAACCGGAAAGAGCAACATGGTACTGAAACATTTGATAGAACAGAAGTGAAACATTTGATCTTTGATGTTCTTATTACTTTGTTTTTAGTTACATGGTACGAAAGTCAGGTTGTTTGTCTTGAGATTTGAGTTCAAATACTTGGTAAATTAAATGAACCGTGGAAGAATATTAATGTAGAAATTTGAAAATGTTTTTGTGATGATCCGATTTTTTTATATTAAAAATAAGATCGTTACTGCATGCCTAACATGTCTAATATGCATATAAGCATCACAGAAATAGCGGAATCAAAATAAAAAAATTAAAAAAAACAAACAAAATAACGGAACCTAAGAGCTACAATTTAAACATAAATGCAACTATCCTAACTTCGGTCTCATGACCGTCACTGCGATATCGTCATCCATACTGAATGACTTACCTTTATTTGAAAAATAAGAGTAGAACATGACTTGATTATTTAAAAAAATGATCAATAAGTAACTCTATTGTTGGGATCGAAAAATGTACATGCAAGCAATCATGGAGGGACTTGTTCTTTCATAAAAACTTTTCATGGACAAACTCTATATTCCAGTCTGACCTAAAATTGGATGTGCAATACTTCTCTACACATGACCCACGTATGCGCACATAGACTACCAAATAGGCGTATAGTACCCCATGAACTGCCCATCAGCTAGTCCGTGCTCAATTGTTGAAGACGTAGAGAAAGAAGACCACACAATATCATGACGTACATAAGTATCGTAATGTACGTATCTGTACTCATTATAATAGGGAAGTATCTTAATACATGTAACATACAAAAATGCATGAGATCCTCGTACCTTTAAATCATGACATAAATATATGATGCAGGTTGTACATTCATTTTTTCATAAATATAGCTTTCATGAATACATACGTGGTGTAACAGTATATCATAATCCTGAGGTAATTGGTTAACATAGTGTGCATGTCATATCATATAATGCACCATACAACATGAAAGTCACAACAAAATCCACAACATGATATAAACATCTCACATCATAACTTACAATATAACATAACATACGTGTCATAGTATCACATAGCATAATAAACAGATATTAAACAATCACAAGGTACATCACGTGCA